TATGGCTGTGTTGTGTTCAGAGGCAGGGAGGTGCTGAGCGTCTCGGTGCCCATAATTAGGGAAATATTAGGGAAATGGCTAAGCAGGGCTGATACTCGTCTGCTTCTCCATGAAACCACTGGGGAAAGGAGATTCACACTTAGCATCTTGGCTAGCTCTCCTGTCGCGCAAAGAGGAAGAAGCAGAATGAGGTTTGTGGTCAAAATACGGCTCGTGTCAGAGATGCGTACCTGTGCAGTTATACCCACAATAGTACGTATCATTCAAGGATAATCCTGTCTCAGGAATGCCCTGGTGGAGCGTAGGCCGAGAGGCAGACGTGGGGTGGTGAGGTCTGACCTTAGATGTGGTATCTGCTTGGCACTTACCTCTGTTCTGCTCTCTGTGCAAATGCTGAACGGCTTTACTAAGGTTACATCTAATTGTGAAGGTCACCGTTCTGGGTGAACAGTGTACCCCCGCCCATAACAAAAGCTTTTTTAAAGTCCTGGTCTGTGGTCCTCAGAATGTGACGTTATTGAGGAATGGGATTTTGCACATGTAAGGACTTGAGATGAGTTTATCCTGGAGGAGGGTGCGCCCCAACCCAGTATGACTGGTGTCCTTAAAAGCAGGTCTTCACGGGAAGACAGAGCCTCATGAGACACACGGGGCAAAGACAGAGGAAGAGCCTGGGGTTGAGGCAGCTGCGAGCTAGCAGATGCCAGAGATTTCCACCAGAAATCCACCGGAAGCCAGGAGGAGGCAAGGGAGGAGTCTCCTAATATCCTGATTTTGGACTTCTGGCCTCCAGAACTGTGAGACAGTACATTTGTGTGGTTTGGGGCCACTTAGTGTGGGGCACTTTGTTACGGCAGCTGGGAGAAACTCACATAGTCAGTTAACACCTCTCAACTGGTTTTCTTATTTGTCAAAGACAGCCGAAAGAATACTGACCCTTGGATGAGTGTCAAGGAGGCGAAATGTGACGATAAAACACAGTTGGTGCCTCAGGTTGTAAGCTTGCCCTATGTCCCAACTACTGATTAAGAGGGGCACGCACCTTGGGGGGTATGGATGGATCGTGCCAAATCCTCCCTAACTACAGGAAACCCAATGCACTCAGCGTACAGAGCTGTGAAAACGGACTCTTGTTCAAAGACCCATGCAACGGGCTGTGTGACTTTCAGCAGGTTAATTCACTTCTCTGAGCTTTTGTCCGCTCATCTGCAAAGAAGGAGTAATAAACCTCATAAGGTGTTTGTAAGCCCCTTAGTTAAGGCTTAACGTGATTCACACGGTGCCCCACTTGTTGTAAGCACCCTATAAATGTTATTTGTGGCTAATAGTGGACCACTGATGTATGTGGGGTGTGGTATCAGGTGTCAGCTATGAGGGGGGCTAAGTTTATGGGGTGCAGACGCATTACATATATTCGTCATTCAATCCTCTCCACAGCTCTCTGCAAGGTAGGTGATATTGCTAATTACACATCTCTTGTGGGGAACGCGTGTCCTGTTTTGCATGAAGTCCTTATGTAATCTGTAATTGCAGTGATCTTCTTAACTTCCTGATGTCTTTTTCTCCCTCCCACCTCTAATGAGCATGGCAACTCCGTGGAGTAAGGGGCCTCGTCCTCCTAAGCACAGTGCTCAGAACACAACAGGTGCCAGTCATTGCGTTTGGAATGAACAGATTTCACTTCTTTCTCCTTTCAGGGCCCTTGCAGATGTCATGAGGCCACAGGGCCACTGCAACACCGACCCCATGGAGAGGGACCTCAACATTGTGGTTCATGTCCAGCATTATGAAAACATGGATACCAGAACTCCCATAAATAATCTTCGTAAGTATAGCTGTGTGGTCTGTTTCCAGCCCCACGTGGTGACCCAGGCAGTGGTCACGTGTCCAGATTGCATGGGATGTGTTTGGATTCATTAAGAGCTTTTCTGTTTGTTGCCTAGTTGCAAGGTTTCTTCCATCTCTCTGGATGAAGCTAGCTAGCTGTGTTCAGCATCATCCGATTTCACTTGGTTGGTGTTTCTGTTACAGATTGATCCATTCGGTTGGCTTCTGATGGTTGGTTCTTCCGTTAACTAATGGCCCTCTTGGTTGGTTCATCATGGGGACTTAGTTAACCAATGGGTTACTTGGTTGTTTCATTTTATGTAATCTGTTTGGCATTAACCCATTTTATTCGTTCATCTTGATCGGAAAATCGTTTAACCAGTGGTCCATTGGCATATTTGCTTCCTGAGGTGGACCAGTTGTGACCTTTAGGCTTCATGCTGTTTTCAGTGAATGGATAGTAGTTCAGAAGAATTTGATCTCTTTTTCATAAAAAAGAGAGTTTCATAAAAATAATTGCAAACTACTCTGAGTATGTACACATGCACATACATGTGCCTTTGTGTGTGGGGGGTCTTGACTTGTGGTTATGTTGCTTTGGGGTGCTTATTCCTTGCTATTATGTTTTCAAGTTACCCCCCACATGAAAGTAATGTGGAGGGCTTCATTTAAAATAACACAAGCCAGACAGTTTAAAGGATGTATTTAGTGGTAGCTGGAGGTTCTTAAAAACACGGCACATTTTATAGTCTGGGTCGCCTTTGCTGAAGCCCCGTTACAAAAGTTGCCTTGGTAGCTTATTTGCTGAATCACCATTTCGGACTGTTTGGCTACAAGTTTTTATGCTTGATGGGTAGAGGAATAAATCTGCGGTATGTGACACAGGTGATGTAGTTTCTCTGATTCTGCATTGTGATAATTTTTCATAGGCTTGAAAATGTTGCCACATAGTTATCAAGTCAACGTTTACATGGTTCGGAAAAGGGCTACCAAATAGAATGTCTTAGGTTTCGCTGTATTCAATGATTTGGCATTATTTATTTATGAATCGGGTCATAGAACGGCGTGAGGAATGGCCACATTTTAGAGCGAAATACATCAGCAGTTGGAAGTTTTATGACCAAACCTCACAGCCCTGAAAGATACGGTAAATTGCACCAACTCGGAAATGGCAGTTGCTGAGTTCCATTCTGTCTCTGATGGAAATGAGCACATTCCCTTTCAGGTGTCACTGGGAAAGAAGCAGAACCTAGTTGTATGTGGGTCCCAGACGTCACACGTGAGAGAGTGTGGTCACGGAGTAGACAAAGGTGAAATGGTGTGGAGTCCGTGGCTCTCCAAGGGGAGTTAACAAGTTTCTCATGTGAAGTTGTAAGTTTTGTGGTGATTTTTGAATCAACGCTCAAACAGAATAACAAACTCACTGAAGTCACCCACTTTTCATCATTGCATTAGGCCAAAGGGCACGGAGCGTTAATGAATCTTGTTGAAATAAGGGACTTCTGTTAAAAGTTGTACTGGAGACAAATTACTGCTCAGAGATGGGTGTCCAGGCACTGAGGAATTCAGAAGTCTCTTGTGACAGACTAACTTGGTTTATTTATGATTCTTGCGTTTGGCCTATGTCTGAGCCTCAGTAATCAGAGATATTTATACCAATTAAAACATGTCCTGTAATGTTCTCTTGGGTGGATGTACGCCAGAGCATTCCTGGTAGACTACAGAAGAGAACTCCAGGTCTACACAAACACTGCATTCGTACGAGATGTTAATTTCCTATCCTGCTGCTGGGATGATCCAGTGCTTATTTCCTAGAATTTTTGGGAAGGTCTGGAAAGATAAGCATATAGCTGTTCCTCCAGTTTACAGTAATCAGTTTAATTTTGTTTAAAATTTTGTTTAAAATGTATCTATTTTTGAGAGAGAGATAGAGCGAGCATGGGAGGGGCAGAGAGAGAGTTAGAGAATCCGTAGCAGGCTCCTGACTGTCAGTACAGAGTCTGATATGGGGCTTGAACTCACAAACTGTGAGTGAGATCATGACCTGAGCCAAAACCAATAGTCAGAAGCTTAACCTATTAAGCTTAACTGATTAATCGATTAAGCCACCCAGGGGCCCCTTAATCAGTTTAATTTTCACAGTTAATTTAGTAGTTGGTAGTAAAGATAGCCTTCCTTGTAGTGATTTTGTCTTTTTATTGATTCACAAGAGCTATTTACATATTGTAGACACAGGGAAAATTTACATGTTCAGAAGAGGGAATGATTTTGGAAGTTCATTGACAGGCTAGGCCTAAATGACTGATATTTATCAATTATTGGGGCTTCAAGAGGCCAGGCAGTCACCAGAGCCCATTTTGACCCATAGAGAACTAGGAGAGAAGGAATTCATTCCAACTGAGAAGTTAGACCAGCTCTTGGTGCCAGAATCAAAATGCACCTATTGAATTGAACCCTTCTCTGGACATTGTGAGCAGTGAAGAGTTACCATTACCAAAAATGGAAAGAAAGGTGCATCCATTTGTGATATACCAAGAGGGGGCACATCATGCCATTGTTGTGGTATTCTTCACTAAACATGCAGGTTACCAGACTTGACTGGGAATTCGGTAACCCAAACTTGAGTGTCATTTTCATCTCTATTCAGTGACCCGCTCAACATAGCTTTCAGAGAATACTCATCTCCAATCTATTTCTCTTTCCTCATCTTTTTTAATGTTTATGTATTTTTGAGAGAGAGAGACACAGACCATGAAAGGGGGAGAGGCAGAGAGGGAGACACAGAATCCAAAGCAGGCTCCAGGCTCTGAGCTGTCAGCACAGAGCCTGACATGGGGCTTGAACCAATGAACCATGAGATCATGACCTGAACTGAAGTCGGACCCTTAACTGACTGAGCCACCCAGGCACCCCTCTTTCCTCATCTTGATACTAATGCTAGACCCCTTTCTGATCTTTCCATTATGACTTGGTCAAGCTAAGAGAATCAAAAGTCTGCAGAAATCCAGATATTTAGAAGGAAGGGACTGGAGGACTAGGGTAAAGGCAAATCCAGGTGGTGGGGGGGAATCTTCAATGTGGGGAAATGTTGTCAACTTCCCTTTATACATTTCCTAGGGTTGATCTTTACTGTGATATGCAAGACTTGCTTTTTTATCTGAAGATGAATTTTTCTTCAGCTGATGCTGTTCATGTTCTTTCCAGGCATTCAGCGATATTGCCTAAAAATATTTAGTCTGATAATCAAAAGGGCCTCGACCTCTTTGATGAACAGGATGTAGATTCAGATGAGATAGTGATTTTTCGCAAATGCTCCTCGGCTTCTGTATAATTATAGTTTGCTTTTGAAGGCACATTTTGTCCTCAAGTGCTATGAACGTGCTTCTATCTCCCCCACCCCAGCTTTCCAGCCTGCCAGGGACACTCCCCATGCTTTTCGGGAGTGCGGAGTAAATATAGTCTCCCTTGTGTCTTAAGGATGGGAGATGTGAGGGGGCACCTGGGTGGCTCAGTCGGTTAAGCCTCCTACTTTGGCTCAGGTTGTGATCTCAGGGTTTGTGAGTTCAAGCCCCATGTCGGGCTCTGTGCTGACAGCTCAGAGCCTGGAGCCTGCTTCGGATTCTGTGTCTCTGTCTCTCTCCGCCTCTCCCCTGCTCATGCTCTGTCTCTACCTCTCAAAAGTAAACATTAAAAAAAAAAAAAAGGATGGGAGATGTGAGTGAAGGCTGTGGGTGCAAGGAGAGAGACCAGGTTAATGTTTCTCAGCTCATTTGTGTTAACAGCACACTTTCTAAAAACTATATGTAATTTTAATCTGGAAATAATTTTATATTTACAGAGAAGTAGCAGAGATAACACCCAGAGTTCTATATACTCCTCACCCACTTCCCCCTGATGTTAACATCATTCATTACTGTGGTACACCTGTCAAAACTAAGACATTAACATTGGTACATTATTTTTAGCTAAACCGTGGATAGTGTTTGGGTTTCAGTAGTTCCTTTCCTTAGGTCCCTTTTTCTGTTCCAGGATCCACAACAGGATGCTACATTGTATTTTGTACAGTCAGGCTGATAGTAGTATTTTGGTTGTGCAGTATTGTTTAATGATGTGGTAAAGACTGAAAACAGCACTAAATAAGTCAGCGGCAATTACAAAGCCTTTATTGCCACAGTAGAAAAAGTATCTCCCAGGGTCTATAAAAGCATCCACATAAAATTATTCCCCTGGTCAGTGTGGGAATAGAACCAGTTTATGTGTTCACTGTGCTCTCACAGAGGCTCGTGGGACAGAGTACCCTCTGTGTGTTTTACGCAAACATGTCACGCCTCTTTAGAATTGGGTTGATAGTACAATATTTACTTCGAAGGTGAGATCTCACCCCAGACTGAGGAGAAACGCTGGCTTGATGTTTATGGACACAGAATCCATCAGAAAGACCAGAAATTCCAGCCTCAGCTCCCCACTGACCACCCTCCTCACCTCCCCCCCTCCCCCCCGCCACCGACCTCCAGGACCATTTCCCAGCAGGTTTACAGGGAACCAGATGAAAAGCAGATCCATGATTTAGCTTCTGAAGATGTTGTGCAGCTCATATCTAGGGCCAAATGGGTTTCCATTCATTTCTCATATTTACCAAGACACCCAAATGTCCTATACTTGACTTTTGGAGACACTGGCAGGGATATTCCCAAATATCTTTTAAAAAATGGGGGAATTTCATAATCGGGGCAGGTGTATAAGAGTAAAAATATATGTAAGATCGTGAAATATTAACAGTAACTTATATAGGCAGCATTCTACCCTGCACCTCCACACTGAATGTTCAAAACCTTATTAGGTTGGTACTGTTATTTCCACCATCATAAAGGTGGGGAAACTGGGGTTCAGAGAGGTTAAATGACTTATCCAAAGTTCATACAGCTACTAAATGGTAGAGCTGGGATTTAAACCGGGCCAGTGAGACCCCAAGGTCTGTGTTTCAACCACTCTACTATG